TATTTATATATAAAATAAAGGTAAAAATATTTTCTTACAGATAGGTACAGAAGTATCTGCACTGCTTTATTTACACATTCTCTAGCGAGAATCTCTTTTAGAAAATCAGCTCAGGGTATAATACGCAGTGCCTACACCATCGTAGCTATCGCGCAATGGTCCTTTGGTATATTTTGCCTTTTTCTGTTACGCTAAACACCCGCCTGATCTCAGCTGATATTTAAAATTCCGTCAATGTATTTATTTGCCAGAATCTTCCCTCTGTGTAACACTTGAGTGCTCATTGTGGAAAGAAAGGAAGAATAAATCCCCATGCATGAAAAAAAAGATTCTCCTTCAAACAGCCAGTGAATGAACAGGCACAAAACAAAGGGAACAGGAGAGAGGAGTGTCACCACTGCAGGGACAGCCAGCTGCACTGACATTGCCCCACATCACGCCCCAGTGCCTACAGCAAGGACTCTGGCCCCCCTTCCTTGCCCACGGGGGTCTCAGCATCTCTGAAGCCGCTCCCTTTCCTCAAAGAAGAGCTCTCTTGATGGCTGTTGAACTGATAAACTCGTCGCTTAAACAAGCGATGGAGCTTCTCCTGGAACTGGTTCCCAATGAAGCAGTACAGCAAAGGGTTGATGCAGCTGTTGGCGAACGCCATGCAGATGCCGAACGGCAGCGCTGTGTCGATGATCCCTGTCACGTCACAGTTGTTAATGACGTTCATATGAGCCAAGGCATCCAAAAACGTTAAAATGTGGAATGGGAGCCAGGAAATTAAGAAGGCCACAACAACAGCAGCCACCAGCTTTAGGACTTTGTCCCTCTTCTGCTTGTTTTTCCCAAACTCCTGTGCTTTGAGCAAGTGCCTCCTGATCCAGATGTAGCACGTGGTGATCACTGTCAAGGGGATGAAGAAGCCCAGTGCATTTTTCAGGAAGGCTGTTGCCACAGACCATTTTGCATAATTCTCGTGAGGAAAGGCCATAATGCAAGCACTGACCCCCAAACTTTCGATATAGTGAGTGTCACGGAAATAAAAAGTTGGGAGGGAGGACAAACTGGCAAGGCCCCACACAACCAATGCTATAAAATAAGCTTGCTGTGGAGTTCTTCTCTGAGAGCGAATAGGATGGACAATAGCGTGGTACCGGTCCACACTCATGCACGTAATGAAAAATATACTTGCAAACATGTTCAAGCACAGGACAGAACTGGAGATTTTGCACATGAGAGACCCAAAGAGCCAGTTGTACCCCTGCGCATAGTAGGTAGCCCAGAAGGGAAGGGTGGCAAGGCACAGCAAATCCGCCACGGCCAGGTTGAAAATGTAGATATTAGCAACTGTTTTGGCACCACTGTGACGACAAAGCACCACAACCACCACGCTGTTGCCAGCCAACCCCAGAACAAAAACCACAGAGAAGAGTGCTGGGATTAGGGAAAACTGATAATCTGACGAGGTGAGCGGGCAGGGAGGGGGTGAGCGCAATGCAGCCGATGAGTTTGTCAGTGCTGTATGGAGGACTTGGAGAGTTTCTCTGGTGGTGATGACCAGGGAGTAGTTGCTCTGCATGTTGGTGCTGGTGGAAAGGGAGGTTCTGCAGGAAATTCATGTGCTAGCAGCACTTTTCTATCACATCGCTCACCTGCAGATCAGAAACCGTGTGTTAGGCACGCGCTCTGTAGCCCCCTCAGCTCTGGAATCACACAGTCACAATAAAATAAAAACCACGTAAAATCATGTCAGTAAGCCCAGTGCTGAAATACCAGGCAACCCTGCTGGACTCCTTTCCTCCATCCCACTGACAGGACACAATTAGCCCTAGGGAGGTCACCGCAGTTTTTAATTAGCCTGGCAGAGAAGCGAGCAGCTGGGTTTTATCTGTCATTACAGACGGTGCTTTCTGTGGCCAGCAGAGTAAAAAGATTATAGACTCAGGAGCTGGAGATACTTCAGGAACTTCTGTGACCAAAGGCAGCACCGAAGCTCCTCGTGATCCTTTTCTCTTCTTTCTTATACTATTTCCAGCACTCTGCGCAGTTAAAATACTATAGAAAGGCAGCACCCCCCAGTGAGGATCAGGTACTTCACACCTGAGGGTCTCCTGGGACTTGACTTAACAGGCTTGAAAGAAGCCTTTTAAAGCAGCTATTAGGAAAGCAAGCTTTGACTTTTTTTTAATTCACAAGGCTGGATACAAAGACACTGAAGGGTCTTTTGCAAAATGTCATTTACTGTCAGGGTCCTTCTCAAAGCAAATCTGCATCTCCTGCCCTCATGACAGATTTTAATATGAAGAATAAAAGAAATATTTTCAATGTAGATACAAGCAATAGACAGTCAAGTGCTCAGTCCTTGCAGGCGTTGGATTTAACAGTAGTATTTGCTATTCATTTAGAAAGATCAGGACTGGGTTTCAGGAGGGGAAAATGTAGCTACAAAACAGCTAAAACAGAAGAGCTAATTGACAGGTCTGTCTTTGTTCCAGCTGAACAGCTCGTGCCTGCACTCTAAGCAGGACACTTTTCAAACTTTAAGACTCTATAGTCAATAAAGACGGTATCATACCCAAATATTTTATTTTATATAATAGAAAGAGACAATTCCTTTTTAATTAAGTTCTTATAGAACCAGGCAGGCACTTAAGAATTTTCAAGGGGCACTAAAACCAATAGAATTTTGACCAAGACAAGACAACGGAGTTGGGTAATGATCTCTCATTTAACAGGAGGCAACTGATCATTTCAAACGTTTTTTTCTGTATTACGCAGTTTAGCGTGCCGTAGCTTATCACTTGCTCAATGCAAAATATGCAATATGCTACTTTGAATATATTGACAAAAACTTAATTTTAATTATATTGTCTCAAAAATTAAAATTCAATAGGAGAATATTAATGCACATTTCTGCAGAGTGCCGGTATTTAAAGTCCCAAATACTGGCTCACAAGCCCACGTTCTGTAATCAAACAGGCGTTAAACCAGAGGAAAGCTTTTTGTTTGGGGACGACCAAGATTCAGGAGGGGGTCTGGAGCCCCATTTCATCCTTAACTCCTATGCCCTGAACCCCTCGCTTTAACTTACAGAAGCTGACATCTCAGGACTAGTCGTGAAGCGTTATGTATCTGACTTACTCCTAATAGAGGGACCACACCGTTATTAATTTTAGCTACATTCCTGAGAACAAGGTTTCATTGACAAACACGCTCCCCCCTCTGCACATGAACAACTGGTGGCTTAAAATCTGCTTCTAAATTAGTCATTCCTTCTTTTACTTAAGACACAATGAGGCATTTTATCACAGATTGAATCAAATAATGCAAATTACGTTCTAACGGCAGACAGAAAACGTACCTCTCAAACCTTCACATTCGTCTGGATGTAGCTCTGGAATTTCGTGCTCTTTCTTTCTGTTTTCCTTCTAGCGAGTATCACCACCAGCAATCTGCTCTCTCATATCTTCCGTTTTCCCACTGGGAGACTTTAACCTACATAACTCGAGAACTGAAATATGACCGCCTGCCAGCTTCTTTCCCTTTTGGAAGCAAAACAGTTTGAGAACCCCCTTTCCGAGGCCACGTGAGCACATGCAGTAAATCAGGAGAGAGGAACAAGACAACAACAAAAAAAAAAAAAAAAAGAGGCAAGGAAGCAAGAAAAAGGAAATTCACACAAATATCTCTGCAGGTTTCTACTGCAGCTCTTGGGACAGGAGGGTCCACCCACATGGGACCCCTCTCTGCCCCCCGGGCACACACGCAGCACATGTCAGCCTCTGTGCTTCAAGGAGGGAGGGATTCACTGCGGGCAGGGGCATTCCCAGGCGCCCTGGGGCGTCCCCGCGCGTGCCATCCCAGTTAAGAGTGGAACAGGCTGTTAGTCCTGGCAGAGCTGACCGCAACGCGAACGCAGAGGCAGAAAGCGCAGGAACGTCCCAGCATTCACACCAGCACTGCCTGTGCGAGGGGGCTGATTCTGTCTCCCCGTTTTCCCAGAACGGGAAAGCCCCTGCCCAAGCCCTTGCAAAGACGTGCACGCCGCTCACGCCGCTCACGCCGAGGAGGGCAGCGGGACAAACCCACGCGGCAGAGAGCGGGCTCGGCGCCGAGACTGCCCGGGGCAGCACACGACCAGAGCGAGCGGATCGTGCTCGCCCCGGCTCCACTCACACCGAACCGAGTTTCTACATCCGCTGCTTCCGCGCGTCACACGCCCCGCCTGGCCCCAGCCTCCGCTCCCTGGAAGGAGCTCCGAGGGGGCTGCTGGAGATAAGCAACGGGGCGAGGTAAGCATCCTTAAGCCTTAACCATCTTGCCCTGATACCCTGAGCGTGGTCTCCTCCTCCTCCGCAGCCCATCTACGGGCACGCGTGTGCTGTGCTCCGCAGGCAAGGCTGCAGGTGCCAGACAGAAAGCAGCCACGGAGGTCCCCGCCAGCGACATGTCCCTTTGCCCCAGCCTGGCGCTGCTGGCCGGCTGTCCGTCACCAGCCAGGGCTGGACCCAGGCTCATCCCATCCTGCGAACACCGGCGCAGCCGTGCAGCGGCGGGGAGCCGTGGGGGCCTGGGGGAGCCCCGGTGCCCCCCCCGCCCTGGGACTGTGCAGCACACCAGAGGCAAAGGCGCCCCAGGCTCCGTAACCGGCTCTGCTTTCACCAAGGCGACCCAGCAGAGACATGAATCAGGGAAAACAGCCTTTTACCAGCACCTTCAGAGGAACCAAAGGCTGAGCAGGCTGTGGAGAACAAACTCATCTTTCTGCCCAGCTGTGTCTTTGACCCAGAAAGAGCTGCAGAGAGTGCTGGAAGAGCTCGTCGCCAAACTCGTATACATCCCCTGGAGGAGACCACTACTTCCCGAGGCAAGGAGAGGAGTTCTTGGCAGCTTCTGACTTATCTGCCTCATATTAAGAGTCCAGCTCTTGGCATTTTCTGTGCAAAAGGAGATGGGGTTATTTAAAGAAGGGGAATCCCCCAGTGCAGCTGATTTATTGCTTCATGGATGAACAACAAAGCAGTCAGCGGTCAGGACTGTCAGGCTGCAAGCACACACAGTGCCTGCGTTTGGGGGAAACACTGGAAGGGAAAGAAAACTGAAATAGCTCAATGAAATGACATGCTGAGAGCAGATGAAACATAAATGCATTGCAGGTATCTTGAGGGAGGGTAATATCAAATCACTGCACAGGATGGGAGACCTCAGCTGTCCCAAAGGCTCAAGCACTGCATGTCACAGCCAGAGTTAGACAACATACATGTGAGCACATCCTTGTTATCCTGAGGTATATATGAACCTCCCCAATGCACACACTCACCCATTCCATAAATGTTTATTTTGACTTTAGGGCATCCCTTCTTCCTTTTCCCACTCATTCCTCCCCACCCGCATTTGAGGCTGTCATGAAAAAGGCGGAGGAGGAGGGGAGACACCCTGGAACCACTGAAATTTGCACTACTCAACAGAAAATAAAGAAAATTTATAAAGGAAACAATAACATACATAATAGCTTAGAGGCTGAAAGAGTCAAGCCTTAACCAAAAAGCTTTAAGATGGAGATTTGCACTCAGTTCCCACACAGTACAACAGCTACCAGGAGACTTGTTTTGTTCAAGAGGCATTAAACAGACGATGCACCTTCTAGAGACACGCCTGCAAAAACTCTGTCTGTTCTGCAAACCAAACATCTCCCGAGCAGGTCCGCAGGAGCACGTGGGATGTGCAAGCGCAGAGGTCACGTGTCCTGATGCAAAGGAGAAGAAATGCACCTTTTGCCACCAGTCCCCCCTGTACAAACCCTGCCCCAGGTCCGGAGGACTGCTAGCTCTCAGGTGAGTGACCTGAGATGTCAGCACTCACTCTGACCCATATTAATTAATTTTTGTTACTAACAGGATATGACAGGACACCATCAGCCAGGAATTCTTGCTGCTGATTGCTTTGCACATGAACGACTGCTGAAAGATCTTCCTCCGTCTTTCATCAAACATGCAGCATGCCTTGTAAGCAGGCAGAAAAGTCAAATCCATGAGAATGTTTACTTTGCAAAGATAGCAAACACAAATTGTTTAGATTTAAATATAACATTTTCCTTTCCAGATGCACTTTTGATCCTCACAGATACGGACTATGACTACCCCGTTCTACCTCCAAAACTATTTGAAACTTTGTGCTGGCTTCATAACTCTTAGTAGGTGGGAGATGGGCCTGATGCACCTGGTGCAATGGGGGTCATACCTCGGGCTGCCCTTTGCCAAATCCCGCTCCCATTCTTCCCCTCACCAGTGCTCAATGTATCGGGTTCCTTATCTGAGCCCAAGTTCTCACGCCAAAGCTCCATTTAGCCGAGGTACAAAACCCCTCCCTCTTCTACTTGCCCCACTATCGCTTTCTCCCTGCCGCTATTTCGGAGCACGAATGGCTGTGAAATAGAAGGTGCAGCCGATACGGACACCCAAGGCGCCCACGCACAAGCCAACCAACGTAGTGCCGCAGCGGAGCTGATGCCCCCCGAGCTCGCAGCGCGTGTTTGTCCAGCTTCCACAGCCAGGCTGAGAAATGCAGCACGCGGATCTG